TTCTTATTTAATATATTTCAATATTATGATTATGAGTAACTAAACTCCATAACTAGGGCTGTGGGAACCATAGGCAAATAATGAGGTAAAACCTAACTAAAATAACAATTCTAGAATGGTGTCTTGCATGTATTAATAATTCTTTCGCTTAGAAGTCTTTTTAACTGATGGCCAACGTTAGAACTCGCCTTAATGCTATTTGCCGGACCAAGGAGGTAGATAATAGGAAAAGAATTATCAACATAGATTTAGTGTATACTATCTAATAGGCTAGTATTGATTGGTACGAGGTAATAACTTAGTCAAATATCGAATACGATGCTTAATATGAGGTAAAGATAAGGGTAAGGATAGCAACACACGTAGCCGGACCAAGATGCGGAGTGAGATTTTCTAGATGCCGGACCAAGGATTTAGAAATACATAACTTATCACTTTGCATGCAAGATACTAGAAAAGAATTGTTATAGTTAGAATTATCAAGTTATGAACCTGTGGGGAACACGTATACCCTAGTTACTTTGATTAATTGATTAAAATCCAACATTCAAAGCTGTTAAGTGTCTCTTTCAATTGGGTTAGTTATTTTCATTTATTTAGAAATAGAAACCCCCCCCCCCCCTTTTATTGTTTTTAGTTTCCGAGGAAGTCATCAACCAAACAATAGTAATAACAGGTTGAAGTTATGTCTAGACTATTTTCCTTGTGGGAACGATTCCAACCTCACTAGTTGGGTTATTTACTTGACACGGCCGCTTTACTTCTTATTTGAGAAGTATATTTGAGCGTATCAAGTATGATTACAATCTAGTGATAGTAATTGTTTATGATTGATTTAGTATTGAATTATGCTATTAGGATTATATTATGTGCTTTCCATGATTAACTATAGTCTAATTGATGAAATTGAAATATGTGGGTTAATGCCATAAAAGGTGAAATTGAGGATTTATAGATGATCTTCTAGAATTGATGATTATGAGTAGTAATTTTTCAAGAATAGAAACATGTAGATATGAATTGAACTATATTTGGGTATATATGATAGATCATGAGTAGTTAAACTTGAAGTTGAACCTTTATGATGATATATGATTAAAATCACTTGATAATGAAGAATGTGACAAGAATGCCTTGAAATCTATGTATGTTTGATGATTGCAAGTAGTGAAGAGTTGATAGTAAGACTTGCAGTCATGAATGTTGATCACTAGGATTTTGAGAATAAAGACAATATGATGAATTATGTATGTCAAGGCTCCAAGAGTAAAACTTATATGATAATGATAGACTATCAGATAGAATAGTTGTGGTAAGACTTTCTCACCTAATCTACCTCATGAATGTTTGAATGTATGAAGTGATGGAATCACTTGAGTCATGATGATATCGATGTCTAATGTAGAATTCTTGATATAGTATAATTCATGAATATGATATGTAAGATTCTCTCACATAAAATGATTCTAGGTTGACAAGTTTGCTCACCTAAAATGAATCTAAGTCCAAGGATTATATAATGTGATGAGGCTTGTAGTGATTCTCCTAAAGACCTTTTTATGAGAGGTATGTGAGGTGACTCCCCTTATCCCTAGATATCATGAGAATACTACCCATGACATGATATGAGAAGTTTGTAGTGACTACCCTTAAATACTACTTCTAAGGCAAGAGATGATTACCCATTAGCCTTTATGATGATCATGGAGGCGAATAATTATGATCCTTATGAAATTATGTGTAGGAGAATACCTACATCATATAATTATGGGGCATGGAGGCGAATACCCATGTTTCCCTAAAATAGTCATGGAGGAGAATACCAATGACGATAAATGTCAAGTAAGAGGTGAAAACCCATTTTCCTTTATGCTTGACATAAAGAGGTGAATACCCATTGGCCCTTATGATAGACATAGAGCTGTGAGTTCCCATGTCTTATGAATAAGTAAAGAATAACATGAAATTGTCTAATGTAGATTGTAGTTGGATAGGCCTTCCATGACCTTTATACCTTAAGGTGAATCCCCTTGCTTTTATGAAACATGAGCATGACTAGGTTGGGTTTTAGCTTAAAGATGGTTTTCCAATACATGCATGAATAGAGGTGATTTCCCTTGTCTATGAGAAATAATGTAGCTATGAGCTTAAGAGATGATGAACAGAAAAACCTGAAGTGTCTAACTTAGAATGAGTAAAATTATGGGTCTTGTTCATGCATGGAACAAGTTCCTTAAGGTGACTCATAAAGTGTCTCTCTTATATGTCGTACATATAGATAAGATTGTGCTATAGTTGTCATCAATGACATATTAAGGTAAAGATGAGACCATGAGATGGTAAGTATGTATGATGACCTAAGGTTGTACTTATGATGTTATGCTAGCTATCATGTTTAGTACTTTTGTACTAATGTATACTTTTGCCTACGTTCTCACCATATGTAGGGTTCGGTGATTGTGTTCCATTCTTGGCTAACTTTCAACAAGCACAAGGAGTTGAAGGCTTGATGAGTCTTTATGTATTTCTGTATCTTTTGCGACTATTGTATGGGTTGTGTTCCAAGAGTGTTCAAGTATTATGTTTTAGATGGTGTAAGACAAAACTATACTAAGAAATCTGCTTCGTTTTGTAAAGACTTTGATTATATGAAAAATATTTAAAATTCTGCACTTTTCTATTATCTTATGCTATGATATGTTAAGGGCTTGTATGAGACCCCTTTAGGGTCAAGTACGTCGTATTATATCTAGGATATAACCTGGGTCGTGACACGATAAATTTTCCAAAATCTAACCCTAATATCTGACCCAAGATAATTTTTCTAAAAAATAACTTTTTCTAAAAAGATTGATGGGGTCGGGGGGGAGGGGGGATTGGGTATGGGGTATGGGTGAGGGTGGCATAAAGAATGAAATTTTTTAAATTTGAAATATTTTTCAATTTTAGTTTTATTTTTTTATGTGGGTGCCATAAAAACCATTTTATTTTTAAAACATACTCATTTACATTTCAAAAACAATTTTTTCTTAATTTTTTTTTGGAGGAAATGGCCCGGGGGGAGGGTAGGGAGGATGTGGTGTAAAATGAAAAAAATTCCAATTTTTTTTATTAAAAAAAATGACATGCATGGCCTGGGTGGAGGGTAGGGGTGGCATAAAAAAGAATTTTTTAAAATTTTTTTGAATATTTTTCAAAAAAATATTTTTTTAAAAAATAAAATAAAATTGACAAGGTGCGGAGGTGGGAGTTGGCATGGGGTTTTGTGGGGGTGGGGGTGGGTGGAGTAAAAAATGCAAATCTTTAAATTTGAAATATTTCCCAAAAACATTCTTTGTTTTAAAAAAAAGTGTGGAGGGGAGGATGTAGGGGTAGGGGTATGAACAAAAATTAAATTTTAAATATTTTTCAAAAACTTTTTTTAAAAAAAAATGATAGGGAGGGCATGTGGAGGGTGGTGCTAGGGGAGGGCATGTGGAGGGTGGTGCTAGGGGAGGGGAGTATTAAAAAAATTGATGGGGTGGGGGGGAGGAGAATTTTCTGGTTAGATGGCGAGGGAATGACGTAAAAAAATTTAAAAATTTAAATTTGAAATATTTTCAAAGTCATTTTTTTGGGTTGTGTATAAGGGATAGGGGGGATAGGATGGTAGGGGTTGGGTGAGTAAAAAAATCTTAAAAATTTGAAAAATTGACCAGGGTTGGGGGGATGGTTTGGGTGTAGTCTCTAGGGATAAAAATATATTTAAAATTCAAAAAATAAGAAAAATTTTAATTTTTAATTTTTTTTTTTTTGTAAATGAGAAGAATCAAGTACGGGGTATGGATAGAACAAGAAAAAAAATTAAATGATGAAATAGAGTATTGAAAAATGTTTTTGTTAGTTTTGGAAGAAAAGTCATTTTCCTTATATTTGAGGATAATGAGTTGATTTGAAAAATATTTTTCAAAGATTTAAGTCAATCAGACATAGGAAAATTAATAATAATTTTGAATCATAAGTTAACTTTGCACTTGTCATCTCTAATAATACAAAAATATCAATGCCAATATTATACATAATAACTAATCTTGAACCACTTTTTTAACGTCCTTATGATTTGACTTTTATTATTTTTATGAATGATTCTTCATTATTTAATACATTAGTCTTGCCTAAATCCATTAGAAATCGCATCTCCCCACCCCATAGAAAATGTTGACCTTATTTCTCATTTAGTTTAATCACATAATTGTACATTGTTCGTACTGCTAGTAAATTGTTCAGTATTATATCAAATTAATCAAACAAATTAGTAATAAAAAGAAAACGAAATAAAATGGTATTCTAGCCTCAAGCTTTAAACAAGTTATCATTTTTGTTCTAAAATAATCTTGAGGCATAACTGAAATGACTAATGTATCTTCAAAACAATTAAATATACAACCTTTGATAGCTTTGTGTGCCTTTTAAAAAATTGCAAATACGAAAAATAACTTCCATCCCATTTCATATGGTACTCTTTTAATCTTAGTTCCTCCAAAAAAAAGGTATAGTTTTTTATATTCTAAAATAACTTAACTCAAAATTTCCTTCTTTTTTAATAAAACAATATTTTTTCAACTGTAAACTGAACAAACCAAGCCACGTGTTTGATTTGCTTTCTTGATTTGACTCAAATTTATTAATTTGATGTTGTCCTACTTTCAATTTTTATACCAGTTTCAAACTTTTTTACAAAAATATAAAAGGTAGAATTAGTTGATTAGTACATTTGAACTCATTAATTAGATAATGTAATTCATGTTCTACAAAATTGACCAAATAATAGGTGAATTAAATAGTTCATTGAATAATAATTCAAGGTGTTGACTGATGTGCTTTTCTTTTTTCCACAATAAATAAATGAGACTAAAAGCTAGAATTAGATTAGGAGTAGATATGATGTTATTAATTATATAAATTCATGTTTCCACCTATAAAATGGCATGAGGTTCAGCAACAATTCCTTAGAGAGAAATATGGCAAAGAAAGGCATCTTGATATTGGTTTTAAGCATATTTTTAGTTGGGAGCATATTAGGTAGGAAATTAGCAGAGAGCGATGCACTGACAAATGGTGGACATAGTCCTTTGAAACCACTCTTTACTCAAAAGAATGGTGATCTTCCTGGTATACCTTTACTAGGAGGAGTACCTGGCAGTATTCCGGGTATACCTTCAATAGGAGGACTACCTAGCAACATTCCAGGCATACCTTCAATAGGAGGACTACCTGGGACCATTTCGGGGATACCTTTAATAGGAGGACTACCTGGCATCATTCCTGGTATACCTTCAATAGGAGGACTACCTGGCACCATTCCGGGTGTACCTTCAATAGGAGGAGTACCTGGCACCATTCCGGGTGTACCTTCAACAGGGGGAGGACCTGGCAACATTCCTGGTGTACCTTCAATAGGGGGAGGACCTGGCAATATTCCAGGTGTACCTTCAATAGGAGGAGTACCAGGTCAAGGACCCGGTGATGTCCCCGTTGTACCTTCTGTAGGTGGAAACACTGGACCTGCATACGGAGGCATTCCTTATATACCTTCAACTGGGATACCTGGACTTGGATATGGTGGTCTTCCAGGTATACCTTGGTTAGGAGGAGGACCTGGCAATATTCCAGGTATACCTTGGTTAGGAGGTGTACCTGGAGGATATGGAATTGGTCCTGGAATAGTACCTTTCGTAGGAGGTGGAGGCGGTGGAGGAGGTGGAGGAGGAATAGGAGGAGGACTAGGAGGAGGAGTTGGGGGAGGAGTAGGAGGAGGTATTGGAGGTGGTGTTTGAAATTGAATAATTTGATGTCAGGGAGGTGACGCTGGTGGTGGTGGAGGATTTGGAGGAGGTGGTGGTGCTCCTCTAAAACAATAAATGCTATTAATATGTATCTATTTTGAAGTAGAACTCATATTTTGAAATATATACTATGTTCTTCTTCAAAATGCATGGTGTATTTACATTTGTATTCCTTTGAATTTACTTTCTAAATACATTAAAAGACAATTTATGTGTGAATCAAGTGCTTTTGTTTGATTTCTTTTAAAGTTAATATTTTTTATTTATTTATATCATTATTTAATTTATTCAACTAATTACAGGTGATAATTTTGTGGTTAGATGTTATTTGATGATCAAATGACCTCCAACTACTAACTGAATTACTTTTCCTTCATCTAGTTTATACCCACTTCATTTAGTAGCATTATTTGAGTGGACACTATATTTTGAAAAAGAATTTCTTTTGAAACTTATATTCTTAATAGGTTTTTGATATTATGTGGCAATAAATAATCACATTGAAGGTAACATTACATCAAAAATGATCATTAGCGGCAATTAGTTCTTAATTGCCGCTAAATATGTATTTTAAATGGTAATTAAGACTCTTTGTATATGTCCCTAAAGAATTTAGCGATATTGATTTTACTGGGACTTGACTAATACCGGTAAAAACATTAGCACTCTCTATTAATGTTAATATTTATTGCTGCTAAAAATTGTTTTTGTTATAGTATAAATTAAAAGAACCAAGGTATATTGAAAACAAATAAGAATACGAAGGTCTGTCCTACAAATAGTTTGAATGCTTCATATAATGGAGGAACATCTATTCCTACTTAGTTTTAAGATGATGTTTGATTTTGTAGGCAAGGTAATAATCATAAAATTTAGACTAGGCCTTATCAAAATGCAATCAAAGGCTTTATAAATTAAGTAACTCGGACTCAATTTGTAATTATTGTGAGATAAAGGGGCATATTAATTAATTAAAACAACAACAAATGGTTGAAAGAGTTGGCTTGCCTTTATAGTCACACAAATGATTAATCAACCTTATAGGTGATGATAATGCTACTTATACTAATTATGAGGTGAACCCCCACTCTATAATTTGACTTGCAAAGAGACATTCAAGGCTTCTGATGTTGTGATCTGATGTCTTTCAAACTACATCATTTTTAGGGTGAAGAAGCGGTTAATTTCAAAATACAGTAACCCAATTAGATTATTAAGATTCAAATTAGTAACACTACTATTGGAAAATTGGAAAGATGATGAAAAATCATTAACTACTTTAACTACTTGGGTTATTATAAATAATATAGGCAAACTAGGCTTAGAGTTCTAGAGTATATTTGAACTCAAAGAAATATTTTACTATGAACTCACTCAGGTGTCTTCACTACGCAAAACTAATGAATCTATAAGTCTACTAAAGCCTCCTAGAACAATTAAGAGAATATCACCTTATGTCTTTGTCGATACTTGAGGTTTTTAATTAATTTGTTCATTCATTAAAATTCTTAGGTTAACTATCATTTATCGAGCTCAAATTATTAGATAGTGAATGGTAGCACCAAATCTTTTTTAATGATTCTTTTTAAAAAATATTAATGTCTAAGAAAGAAATTAAGTACAATATGATCACACCTTCAAGAGAAGATATTTATTGTAAAATAATTTATTATCTTTATCCCTACCCTAAACACCATGACGCAAGTGATGTGTTTAGCTACTCATAACTAGTTATAAAGAGAAAAGACATAAAGTCATCACTCAAGTTATCCTGAATTTTTAAAATGAAATTTTAACTTCGCAACCGTCCTATTACACCACAGAGAGTGGTGTGCACTCTCTCAAAGAGAGGGGGCAACCTACAATAACTAATTTAATATTATTTTTATAAGTATTTTATTATAAAATATATTTTCTTATTTTTATTATTATTTAACTTGTTGTTTCTTTTTGTTTTTCTCTTTCTTTTCAAAAATTCATTTTTTTCGCTTTCTTTTCAAAAATTCATTTTTTTCTCTTTCTTTTCAAAAATTCATTGTCATCTCCGTTCATAGAAGTTTCTTACTTTCAATAGCACCCTTTTTACCACAACTTTACCTTCCTTTTTCTTATTACTATTACTTTACTCTCTTTAATTTTAATATTTTATCTGAGTATTTTGTTACATTTCGAACAAGTTAAAAAACTCATTAGATTTCAAGATGATTAGGAAATATCATTTAGTTTTTTATTCAATCTCAATTAAATTCTTTCAATTTTCTGGAAATTAATTAATTATTTTAAAATTTTCATTTCTAATTTTGAATTGATATGAAAATGAGTTTTTGATATTCCTTCAAAATTTTAAATTTTCTTAAAATAATAATTAATTTGTTATGAATAATTCAATTAATTCTAAATAATAGTATAAATTGCTTAAAGAATTCGAACGAAGAAGAAGAAGAAGAAAAAAAGATAAAAATAATGGAAGTGTGTCTCAATTTGACATGGGAGGGGGGAGGTGAAGAAAAAAATAGGAGGGACGACTCACTTGAAAGAGGGAGATGGAAAATGAAATGAAATTTAAGATATTTCAAAATTAAAATCAAAAAGTGAGAGAGAGAGACAGAGAGAGAGAGAGAGAGAGAGAAATAAAGAAAGAAAAAGATAAAGGAAAATTTAAAATGAAAAAATTGTATAGATTTTTAATTAAACTAACACGTGTCATGTAATGATTGGTGTGTGAACTCACTTCCTTCTTAAAATTTGGGGTTGATCGAAAAATGGTATGATATCGATTCAAAATTGTTCAGTGGGGTAATAGGACAGTCGCAAAGTTAAGGTGTCTTTATGAAAATCCGAGACAAATTCAATGGTGACTTTATGTTTTTTCTCACTGATAAATAATAACTATTATAACTAAAAGTACCATAAAACATGAATATAAAAACTAAGAACATTTTATGAGTAAGTACTAATTATGTCTAACAATATGTAACCCTGGGTAATTTGTATATTTGATGCTCTTTTTGGTCCATAATATATTTCTCTTAGTTGAAATGGTCCTTAATGTATAACTAAATGTGCTCATTTTCATCCCTTACTCTAAATCTAAAAGATTTAACAACCATTATTGTATTATTTAAAAGCTACAAAGAAAAATCTCATGGAAAGAGAAAATAATAATGTTAGGTTTTGTGAGAGAAAATAATCAATTTCGGTAGAGAAAGTAAAAAATATGATATTAGATTTCATGGAATTTTTTCTTTGACGCGGAAAAAGAATATAAGTGATGAATTTGTAAGTCATGTGGGGTCCATAGTTAAATTTAACACTTTATTAAATAAATCTATTAGGTTGAAGGGAAGGAAAAAAATAAACACCTTTTGTTATACATTACAAGCCATTTCAATAAAGTAAAATATGTTAAGGACCAAAATAAAGCATTACACACATTAAAGACCATTTTGACTCATACTTTGGCCTAGGAATATGCATCAAACTTTTTAGTCTATGACCTATCATCACATAGTTATCAACCACTTGTACTCAACTTATTTCAATATACGTACAACGGTTCACATTACATTTTCTACTTTTAAATTTTCCACTATAGAGGTGGGAAGAGTTCCTTTCTACGTTATACTTCTTTCACCTAAAATCTAGATCAGTTGAATCTAAATTTTCTTGATACACATAGCATGAAACTTTACCACTTTTTTTCATGGTAACAATATCACTACGTAATTTTTGTATATTACTTTTTCTGTATTTTTTATTTGCTTGAGTCCGCGAGACATCATCTTCTCTATTTAAGATATTACGTGATCCCTTATTGAAGGTTAGTATGTTCTCTTTTGCCATCACATATGGAATTGGACTCATGTTGTTGAAGTTTTGGTCTCAATTACCTTTGTTCTTGTCTCTTCGACCTACATTTTGGTTTTTATTTCAACCTTTATTCCCATGTCCTTGTCATAAGGTCCTTATTTAGAACTCTAGTATTTTGTATGGGACTCCCCATATAATTTTTGACATAATATGTTTCATTCTCGTAGGTGTCTTCAAGCCTATACCTTGGATTATCAGCATCCACAATATTCACATTTTGTGTTAGGGTACCCATCTCATGCTTAGTCAATATATCCATATTTTTAATCAAATATGCCATCCTTTATTCCTTAGCCTCTTCTATAAGTAAATCTTCCTTTTGAAAACTTTGCGGTGATACACTGCTAAATACCTAAGATTTTACTGTTTGCAAAGCCCGATTATTGGTAAGCATTCGAAAAAGCATTAATATGGCCTCTTCATAAGTATGGTCTATCAATGAACCCTCTCCAACATTGTTTGTCACAAATGTTTTGACTATATGTAGCAATCTATAGAACCTTTTTAGCAAAACATCATTTAGTAACTTATGATTCACACATTGACCTACCATTTTTTGATCTAATCCATGCTTCATGTAGTGCTTCACTTGGCACTTATCTGAATTGTTCATATCATTCCTAAGTTGGATACGTCTACTTAAAGGAGAGAACCTTTCAAAGATATCACTTCTTAGCTTTACCCAGGTAGTGATAGATGTTGCTGGTAACTCTCCAAACCATATAGTTGCTTCACTATTTAGAAAGGAAATATGAAAAAACTCATTTCTATTGCTTCTTGAGAGATACCTACGCTATTGTTAACTAGGCACACCCTTGTATATCTTGATTATTTTAATACAGTTTTTCAAGAGCTAGACCATAGAAAAAACCCTTCATAACTAGTAAATGTCACACTGTGCTAGTGATGTTGCCAATTGAATGTCCTACTAGTGTTTGAGGTCTAATAGAACTAGAATGACCTACTTTTGTAACAGGTCCTAATTACCTTGTTTGTCTTTTCTCCAACCTATGTTCTACTCTTTATTCTAACCTCTATTCCATTTTCCTTTCTTTTCTGTCAAGTTCATTGGATAGAACTCTAGTAATTTAGATGGAAACCCCCATTGATTATTTATATAG